TGTCTATCGTTGCTATTTGGGCATGGAACTGTTTTGTTTCGTTTTCTTTCTCATAGTGTAAACAGTGTTTTTCATTTTGATTCCTGTATTTGAAACAACTACCGCTTGGCATTTACTTTTTGATAGGATATTGGAAAAGAGGTTCGTAAAGCAACTCGTCTTATGCTGCAACAGCTTCTCCAACAGTTGAAAGGAAATATACAACTGCCTGCTTGCCTAAGAATCATTGGCTACCTACGGCAGCTGGAGACGTTTAGTGAAGCGGATCTCAGAATCAAATTCTTGCAGGTATTATGATAAGCAAAATTTGTTGGAAAAAATGACATTCTCATCAATGTAAAACTAATCAGATCTTTAAATTCTTCTACTCTCATCACGCCATATTCCTCTGATTAAACACCCCCCCCCATCGAATAAACGCCACCCTCGAGGAGGCGCCCCAAATTAATGAAAGCCCCGGGGCGTTCAATCAAGGAATTTACTGCGATAGAAGAGATGCTGGAGCCTTTGACCGTTCTCTGTTTTGAAATTTTTATATCTTTGTACTCCTTTGTAGTCTGCAATTAAACTCCATAATTTTCCCTTGATTGAAGAACATTACCGTTATTAAGATTGAAAACTGGATTTCGGACTGATAGGAGATTTCATCAAGCCTTGTTACACACAAAGCTTCATACTCTGTCTATATCAGGTTGTGTAGTATGTTGTGGTCATGATTCTGTATTCATCATTGTAGGCAAGAGACAGTTGGTTTCAGAGTGTTTTAAGCGCCATTCCAGATAAAGATGGTAGGGACACGGTCGTTTCTTTTTGCTTTTTTGCATCTAACTTTCATTACTAGCAATTCACTCGAAGTTTCTCGGCCTTTTGACCATTAACATTCTTCATATTCTTACTCTGGTGTGTATATGAAAATAAGCCTAGTTTGTTTGGTTCTATCAGATCTCAAAAACTGATGCATAATAGTGTTCTAGTGTTCTAGATCTATTGATCAGACTTTTCAAGCGATTCTATCTGCTCCATCTCCATTCAGCCCCCAGAAAAGATGTCTCTTCTCGCTAGAAATTCTTTAAGAAGGACGAACGGGCAAGAACTATTTTCTTAACATAACACAAATAGAATTGTTAGCGTCTGAAATTATTTAAAAAATTGCTTTTTAGCTTACTATCATATCACTAAGATCATCGAGGCAAGCCGTGTACACTTGTTTGACATCGTGACGCAGTACCGAGCAATTTTCTCTGACGATGACCCAATATTCATTATGGAGGAAGAACGTGCTGTTAATTACTCAAATATTCTCCATGCTTGGATCTCGCGCAAGGTTTTTGTTCTTAAATGATTTTTCTCTTATTTTTCTGTACTGTGCTAATGGCAATCGCTTGTTGTTTGATTCCATTTTTAGGTACAAGTCAACCCGGTTACGTCTTATCCGCATAACTGAGGCTTCCACTAAGTCGGACATTCCGTATTCAAGTCTAAAGTCATACCCCCAGATAGGTCGGACATTCGCTAAGTTGATTCCATTTTTAGGTACATGTCAACCCGGTTACGTCTTATCCGGATAACTGAGGCTTCCACTAAGTCGGACATTCCGTATTCAAGTCTAAAGTCGTACCCCCAGATAGGTCGGACATTCGCTAAGTTGATTCCATATTTAGGTACAAGTCAACCCGGTTACGTCTTATCCGGATAACTGAGGCCTCCACTAAGTCGGACATTCCGTATTCAAGTCTAAAGTCGTACCCCCAGATAGGTCGGACATTCGCTAAGTTGATTCCATATTTAGGTACAAGTCAACCCGGTTACGTCTTATCCGGATAACTGAGGCTTCCACTAAGTCGGACATTCCGTATTCAAGTCTAAAGTTGTACCCCCAGATAGGTCGGACATTCGCTAAGTTGATTCCATATTTAGGTACAAGTCAACCCGGTTACGTCTTATCCGGATAACTGAGGCCTCCACTAAGTCGGGACATTCCGTATTCAAGTCTAAAGTCGTACCCCCAGATAGGTCGGACATTCGCTAAGTTGATTCCATATTTAGGTACAAGTCAACCCGGTTACGTCTTATCCGGATAACTGAGGCTTCCACTAAGTCGGACATTCCGTATTCAAGTCTAAAGTCGTACCCCCAGATAGGTCGGACATTCGCTAAGTTGGATCACTTACTTGCCTTCTTGAAAGTTCGACTTCACGGGTTTAAATTGTAGTTGCTTGATATGATGGAGTCTTCTGTCGACCATTTTGGGGAGTTTCACCGATTTCACGCCAAGAGGCTGGGGTGTAGCATTCCTTCTAGGTGTTGCCGGGAGGGTGGATAGAGATATTCGCATCCAAATAATTGGCAATTATTTTGTGTAATAATAATAATAATAATAATAAGAGGGAAATTTAAACAGGGTAAAACCTTGTCAATACTACGAATATTGTTATCAATAAGGGCCCTGAGTAATAATAGAGTTTCATCAAAAAATGATATATTCTTCCATGCTCTCGAATTTTATTGAAAGAAATCTGGCAAATATTGTGCATTGTCCAAATAGCATCTTTTTTATTCACTGGTCTATTATTTATGATCAACAAATCAGTTTCCAATAAGACAACTGTGTATAATTCGACGTTACGGCATCATTGCGTCGTTTTTCATGCGATGTTACGGCAATGGAATTCCTTGTATCTGAAATTTAACTGAAAAACGTTTTAGTCTTTCAAAGTATTTATTTTTTACAGATAACAGACTTCATGTCGACTTTAAATAAGGATATGAATCGAGGCGTTGCCGGTAGACTGGACTCCCTTCTCAGCCAATGCATGTATTTCGGGTTGTCATTCAGCAGAGTTGGAGCCGATTTCAGATGCCTATTGATGCCGATATTTAACCGTGTTGTCATGAAGACATTTGTGCAAAACTTGGAGACAACGACAAAAGCGTGAGTTTGCCGCGATTATAATGCAATCAGTGAAACGTCATTCTGACGACAGCATTAAATATGCATGATTCAGTCAGTGATTGAAAAGCATTATTGCCAGTATTGGGACAAAGAACGAGGCTATGGTATCTGAGAACGTAGCTGAGAGGCAAATTTTATATGACCAGTTGCATTTCATTTTTATGATACGCTCAAATTTCGCCATCGCTTAGAACCAAAACCTTTTTCCTTTTTCTAGGCATAAATTCGCAGATATATAGCCTTGAAATAAACAAAAAATAAGCGACTGTGTTTTGGTAAAATCGGTAATTTTTCCCCAATGGGCATGCCAATGAAATCCTAGGTAATGTGTCAATTTGCTCTGCAATAATCGTGTCATTTCTATCTACCTTTGTTTTGGACACCCTCTATCCTTGGTGGCCTTTCGGAAGCCCAATGAGACAAAAGCAATTAATTGCCAAGCCCAAACCTCGCTTTTTTCTGTGTTTTATTAGCGAAATTGTGAGAGCTTTAGGAAACTGCTCAAACTGTCTAAAAGAGGGGCGAATACTTTTCTGGAATCCGTTTTTCTGACCTTATTTTATAAAGTAATTTGAAAGTTATATATTGAAATGAAAAAGAAGAACTTTCGTGTATTCTCGTTTGTTTCAGACCTCTGCTAGAAGAACATTTTCTTATTTCAAAAAAGAGAGGCCAGAATTACTTGAAAACATAGGTATACGAAAAAGAATATGAGTCGCGTAGGTTTTATAGCTTTGACAACCATAAATGTATTCAGAACTGATGATCTTAACGGAAATCAAAACATTATCCTGTCGTGTTATCATTTAGCTCTGTTGATCCCTGAAGGTGTTCAAACCACATGTATGTATGCTATGCAGTTATTTGGTCTTCATCCACCTTTAATTTAATGACCAGCATCGGGCAGCGACTGATGAAGGATGTTTTTTACGGTATAACAATCTGGATTGTTGATGGATGTAAGTAGGTACATACATGCATAACAAATGAATCAACTTGCTTGTATGATTTGTTTGTAGTTTTGAAGAAAGTTTGATGACATTTTCAGCACCAAAATCGCATGTGCAGCTGGATAGTCAACGACAAGCCAGCAAGGTACGTTGAAAATCAAGCTCTTTGTAAGATAGAATTCTTTGAATGAATTCTGAATGTTACCTATTTTATTTGCTTTGAAAGAGAAAGAAACGCCCATTGCTCTTAAAAAGCACTCACTGGGCTTCTGTTTATCAGCAAAGGATGTCAGTCAGAAATACATATTCAATCAGGAATCTGTTATGAACACGAGATTTATTATTTATTATTTTGTGTCTTGACCTACTGTGATATTTGCACCTGCCTTTGAATTGCAACGATATTTGCTTACCAATAGTCTCTCAAAACTTAAAAACATGTTTTCAATGAGCTCAAAGCTGAGGATGTACAAAAACGTGTCCTCAGATACGAATACTTATAGGATAAAGTAAACCTTTTTGTATCGTAAAATTTGAAAATAGTACGATAAAGTTGGAACATGCGATAATTAAGAACGTTCTGCCCAATCCTTCTTTGCCCGATGGTCCGCAGAAAATGAATTGCTATTAGAGAAATTACTGAGAACCGAGAGAAAGTTCGATATTTTCAGAGTTTTGAGCGTTATTGCAAGTCTTTTACCATTAGACTTGATAGTTCTTTTGTTGTTTTTCGAAATTAGCAAGATAAATTTATATCGAGGCTTTAGGCTACCAATTCCAGAAGTATGGAAATGGCAGGCGAAAATGTCATCGAACACAGTTGCCTGTGCCCCCAACTTTTCGAACCAAGATTGTGACTTAAATGGGCCTGGTAGTGGTAATATAAGGCGGGCCACTTTTATGCGTTGAATGCTAACGAATTAAATTGGCTTTTGGTGCCGCAAAGTTTGAAGATAGCGCGAAAAGGCTGAAATATGGCATACTTGGGCACATCAACCAAGGGAGAGGTTTGTAGTCACAGATCGGTTAAAAGCAAGGCTCCAATCCAATCAAAATTCTTCCTCTTGCTTCATTTTCGATCCGCTTCAGGGTATGGATTTCTACTCATCTTTGGTCATTTTTTGACATTTATACTCTGTGGGATCTTTAAAGTCAAGTCCAAAGTATGCTTTGCTTAATCTAAACCGTTCTTACTTCAGACTGATGAAATTATCTTCAAACAGTATTGATGTTGAATCTGTAGTAAAAATATAAAACAAATTAAATTAAGGTCGGTAGACCATCGTAGTGACATTTGAATTCTTTTGCAGATGAAAACATCAGAGTCAAGTCTTTCTCCTCCTCAGGAGCTCCTAGACTTCTCTCCGTTAGCACATTACACCAATGGAATTCTCACTTGTTTCAATGAACTTAGGAGCTTTGCCTCGATTCCGTTGTCTAAACTGGTACGAGGCCGTCTACAAGCGTCATTAGAACGCGTTTCTGTTGCGATTGCGTCTTGGACAAGGTAAGCAATATCAATTTTGTAAAAAGCAATTTAAACTAACATGATTTCAACTGCATTTGGGGCTATCAACAAGCTTCATCAGCTCGAGCGCTTTCGCTATGACGAATAATCCAGTGTTGTTATTGTTAGCATAAAGATTTTCAGATGCCCATCGCAAACACATCAACGCTCGATTTTTTATTCCAATCTTGAACTGAAATATGCACTCTGTTACATTTGTTTTCCACGTATTAAAGTTTGAAGGTTTTTCTTTTGTATAACATGCTTTATAGTTTGCAAAATAATAGGGATAATGAAAATTATTATAGTAGCACTAATGCTTAGAAACAATTTCATAAGGGTGGAGTTACCCTAATGGCGGTTGTTGCCATAACCAAAACTCTTACGTTAGTGTCTCTCGGTGCCCGGTTATAACTTTGCACATAACAGGTCCCCTCCTCTTGATTGTTGAACTGACGCAATGGTGATTGTCACAATTGTAAATATCGTCTAAATCTTTTTGTTTTCGAATCTGAAACTTATTTGTTGCTTCTAAAATATTTTCGTTTGTATTCAGGCTTGAAACTCAGTCTCAGATCAAGAAAGATGGAAGCAATATACTAGTGTTAACCCGATTGGCCATTGAAGAGTTCTTCCCTTACATCAATCGCTGTTATCAAGCTGTATTTAAGCCATCTGCAGTCGCACTCGTATTCGGAAGACCGAGCCTCGCTTTGGATCAGGGTTCGTCTTCAACTGAATATTGCACGCTCAATATTGACAAAATTCTCGAACCTTTGGCAGAATATTTACCAGAAAAAGTGGCGATTGATCAAGGGGTGGAAATGGATTTCAAGAGCAACAAGAGAGAGGATTTTGTTAAGAAAGTAGAAAGATCAAACAGGGAAAGAAATGACTCAAATTCATTAGGGACAATTATTAAAGGATCTGTTAAGGATAAAACTCACCAGGCCCAGGGAGATCTAGATCTCAGAGATGCAGAGACAACGGATAATGAAATAGCGTCTTTGTCCGGAGCAAAATTAGATTCTAACTCACCGAAAGATAGGATAGATGTTTCATAAGCATATTGATCCCGATATCAAATTCTTTGTAGTGGTAATATATAAGTAATTTTAGAAAATTTCAACTTGATTCGTATTGCGCCAAGAAGTAGGACTAGAATTAAATCCTTGGCTCGGTTTTTTCATCAGTCTGAGCCATGTAAAAGTTACAGCAGTTCCTAATCTGGTCAGTCTAGGTTTGGATTTTGTGTAAGCTTTTCCAGATCTATAAATGTAATTTTAAAATAATGTGCCATGCAAGTGAAACTGTCCAGTTGGGATATTGCGTCTTTGGCAACGATGTTTTTAGACGAACAGGAAGTTTCAAGTGCCAGAAAATTTGTGTAGATTTTCGTTGAAAGACAGGTTGAAAAGAACACACAGTTTTCACTGAGTTTCCTTAAATTTTAATGGTAACTAACTGCAATCTCCCTAAAGCAGGCTTCGCAGAGCAGGGGGCTAGAGGGATTTAGCTGCTTTGTAGAAAAGCAGGATATTAAGAAGTGAATCAAAAGACCACAAAAGCCCCATTTTAATCGTTTTAGCCCCCGTACTTTTTAGACTCCCCCCCAATTGTCAAGAGGTATGCTCTCCCAATTCATTAATTGAATATTAGATTCGGTTAACGTCAATGCCAATTGTGTATTTATGATAAAAATCTGAAAGGCTACAACAGAGAACAGTGGATCTTAGTCTTACTTTTGACATTTGACCATTTGATCATTTGACCCCATCAATTTTCATCACAAAATTGTTGAAGAGGCCGTTAATTCTTAGTAGCACATAGCTGATCTTCTGACATGGGTTGAGTAAATATCCGTAAAATCCAGAACACCGTTAGAAAACACGTTTTTTGTAGATTCATATTTTCAATAGATGAGTTTCGGTGTAATTTACTGTCCTAAAGCAATCATTTCACAGAATTTACGAGGGATGAGCCACTGATCTTACGAATGACCTGTTGTTATTTCTGTTTCGTTGAGTGCAGATTAGGATGTTTTGTTTTTTTTAAAAATTCTGCCTGCTTGGTGTATTTTCATTGAACATATTTGACAAAGGTGGCTTGAGCAGCATGTCCCCTAACTGGCTACGTTACCGCGGGGCTCCCAAAGAGTTTTTTCACTCTGCCAAAAAAGCGTGTCATTTGGTTTTCCATCCTTGCTGTATTTTACAGCAGCCAAACAATGCTATAGATCGTGAATAGCACAGGCAGAGAGTAACATGGTTCAGTGCTCGGTTTGAAGAAGATCGCGAGCAGGGTCGATAAAAGTGAAATAATATTGCTCAGGTTCCCATTTTGCTGAGCAAAGATTTTTGCACAAGCGATAAAACAAGAAAATGACATCAATACACGATTCTTTGGGTGTTGAAAGAATCTTTACCTTGCCCAACAAACGGCTGCACCGGTTTGGGATTTTGCCTTAGGCTTTTGCAAAACTAGGTTTGTCAACAATTTGGGATGTGAGTGCCACAACCGACGCCCCCAATAGTTACAGTCCTTGGTACTACCAATATGTTACGTACATCTACTATCAAGGTTTCATATAACCTCCACTTTGCTGTAAATTCAAAGTCATTTGTGGCAAGTTTGGTTTCCAAGTTATCCTTTGACGTTATTCAATGCAAAAGCGCCAAGACTATTTAAGGTAGTTTGCACCCAGATTGTTATTAGTCGCACAATCAAATGCTAGTAGTTGTGAAGATATGGTCATTCCTAATTAGGTTAGAGGTTTGATCAAAGTTAGTTCAGAAGACTGACACCTTTTCTAAATGAGGAAAAACATTCATACATTTAGCAACCAAAAATATTGGCTAGTTTCTTTTATGGTGGTTCTTAAGTATTTCATATTTAAATGGAGGGAGGGGTGTAGCAACGGACTACAGGAGGAGGTGGGGGATGAAAGGGGGCATGATTTTTCGGTTTCATTTCGACCTACAGTAGTAATTTTCATAATCACTCTATGCATAGACTTCACATTAAAAATTGTGCTCGTAGCTAGTAGGGTAATAAATTGTGCAAATCAACAATCTACCGTCGAAAAGACCAAGCGTCCAAGTGTAGCTGAAGTTTTCAGGTATCTACACGGACTAAAGAAAAACCAGTCCACAATCAATTTTACGTTCTTCGATCACTCAATTCACACGAGAGGAAATGTTAATCGACTTTTGGTACCTAAGTCGAACAATAAAGCAGGAAGAAGGTCGTTTGTTGTGCCTTCAACACTTTATCAGTAGAATTGAGGAAAGACACTCTATCTGCAGATTCAAACAAATCTTGACTAATTTTACTTCTTAGTTTTGTCTCCTACTCTCTATGGACTCTTAGATTTGGATTAAACTGTATAGGCAGGGCATTCCTCTGAACCATCGACCGCATTGCCTAACCTTTGTTTTCTCGGCTGATTATGGAACAATATCGTATAACGAATTATTCAAGCCCTTACAACATTTTCAAAAATTCATCAAAGTCACGTTACCGATGACGTCAAAAAAGTTATGTTTCCTAGACTCAAAACCATTGTAACTTCTCAAGTATACGTCTGACTTCAATACAAATGCTAGATTCGGGCTCGCCTGAACGAAAGCTTTCCAATGATATATACACATCAGTATTTTAACGATGTCAGCAATTTTCAATGCTGACGTCATCACTCTCAAAATGGCCGTCGAACAGTACATTTTTAGACAAAAGCTCTGATCTAATCAACTGCATTTCTGGATCGTTTTGTGGCAATGTTTTGTTAGGTAATTATTCTGCATCACTCAATTTAACGTTTAAATCCTCGAATTGCCCCCTCCCCCTCGAAAAAGCCCCCACCCTAGCACTACAAAATGTCAATAAGCCCTCCTTCGAATAAGCCCCCACTGCTACCATAAATTCTCGAATGGGACCCCTCAATTTGATGATTTTTGTCATCTGATCTGTTGCCTACGGCGTTTTATTGAATTACCACAACAATTCATACGTTTGGTAGTAATTAATTAAATGCTCATAAAGAAATTCCTATTAAAATAAATGACGTCTTTTACTAATGTCTTCTTAATGTCTACAATAATTTTATAACCCCCCAGGGGCTTATTCGAGGATTTACGTTATATATTTGCCTCAAATCCATTTACCGCCAGAATCCTCCGACGAACTGAAGTCATAAACTTCCCGTTCACTCTCTATTTCATCAGAAAGTTCAGTGCTACTTAGGTCAGAGTCTACCTGGTCTGTTGTTTCCTTGTATTCGTTACTAGCACCGATTTCGTCGACACTACGGGCCTATTTCGGTACCTCAGTACATCTCTTGTATTTCTTTGGAGCAGGGAGATTTTCACTGCCACTTTCGACATCTGCCCCAACGTTTTCTGAAAGTCGGCTCTTGTTTTTCCGTCTTGACTACAAAGAAGGAGGCAGCAAGATTTTAGGGAAGACTCTTCAGAAGACCCTTCCAGCCACAACTTTCGAAAGAAAGTCTTGACGGATGGTTCTACGCAACGCAATCAGCAGTAGGCTATCTTCTAGGAATGTGAATCAGAAGGGAGTTAAATGTTACTTTCATTTTGTTATAAATTTTTAGTCTTGTTTCCACATAGCTTCTCTTGACCTTGTCAGAATACATTACCATTTGAACAAACTTCTGAAAATCTTCTATATCGCTATCACTAACCACTTTTCCTTCTCCAAGGCTGTCAAGCAGTTCAAGGTATCGCGGGCTCTTGATGACTGTCTTCAGCAACCTTACCTTTCCTACGTTGCGGAAATAGGATTTAGAATTACACCTAGATAAAGCATGTAAAGCCTGTAGATTAAGGCAAACATCTCTTACGAAATGGGAACCATTTGCGTTTTACATGGAGAAAAGCAAAAGCCCAATGTGTCTTCCTTCAGAAATCAGTCTTATGATATAAATTTGCTTCTAATTTTGATATAGGAGCTCGTGGCATTTATATCCTTGCAACTTGTTTGGTAGTACACTTCTAAATGACCTCTTGGCCCTGGTTCACCAACTTATACCCAGCTTCAGGAGCAACAAATTTGATAAGGTTGCGCGTCCGCGCTCGGTACGTTGGCATCGGCTTGATGGAGCGAACTGCTACCACTCCGTCTACTATCCAAACGGCAGACTTCGGAGGCATGTCTTTGATCCATTGCCACTCTTCGAGCAAGAGTCGTTGCAAAGTTACTTTGTCTGACTGACACAAAGTTAAACCAGCTGTAGCGATAGCAATTGAAAGAGGAACGCTTGTCATGGGATGAGTGAATGCCTCTTGCAGACTTCCTGTCTTCAAAATGAGTAGTTAAAGGCCTGTTTTTGTGTTCCTTGGCCACGGTAGGTGTCCCCTTGATCTTTTCCAGATCTGCCTTCAGCTTTGGTTTTTTTGATCGGCTTGAAGAATTAAACGCTGCCATTTATCAGGCGATCATTTGTGAAGCGATGCATATTCCCTTCTCCTATGATCGACGCTGCAAGGAGGTTAGTAGAACTTTATTGTTCTAGTTCTTCACCAGTTAAAGTCGATTTCGCAGGTGTAACAGAAAACCGATTGGTGCCATAGCTTCGAAGAGTTCTCTAAGGCTACCATTATGCTTCTGAAGGAGCTTTGTCCTACCTGGAATGCTGTACTTGTGAATTGATGATGACTTTACGAAAAAGTATTTTTTTAGAGCCTCTCTAAACTTGCTATGAATGTGGGACGTAGCAATCCAAGTGTTAACCGCATTAACGTTTGCTGAAGCCAGACCAGTATGGACCTGCAGTCCCTTTAGCTTTTTGAATCGCAATAAATTTCCTCTAAATTCTTATTTGTTCCAATCTTGGAATGCTGTAGTTTGTTCACCCTCACCCTGTAATGATTGAAGTGAAATGGAGAAGCAGATGTGTTGGTATGTCCAGTAGCGGGCATAGTTGATGTGATTCAATGCAAATGTAAGCAGAATCATATTTCGCACTGCTTGCAAAAGTAGCTTAGTGTTGCTTTTCTGCAAAGCTGCTACCATGCTCAACAAAGCAGACAAATCCTCCAGCTTAGTGATTTCAAGCGACTTTTCAGTTTTTTGACGATTTTCAAGAATCAACAGTTTTTGCATCAACCTGCCATTGCTTATGGGCATTGACTGTATGTGTTTTTTTGGAAAAGACGTTGGCGAACCCATGAGTTGATGAAAGCAACCCATCAGCACCTTGATCTGACTATACAAGTCAGCATTCGTTCACATAATTTGGTTCATCTTTGCCTTCCCCATTTCATCCGCATGAACAAAAACATGAAATATGTCAAGATCATATCTAAGAAAGAATCAAGGTATATTCCTTGCATACTGGATAGACAGGCACCTTATGAGTGATTGGCAAGGTATCTAGCCCTGTCAGGGGTATTAAATAAAGGCTTTAAAGTAATAAATCATATAATAACTGTTTCCTCCTGTCTCCTGGCAATGCCAATAATATAAGCCCGTGGCCTTTGTGCAAAGCTCGGTTTCGTACCGACGGCTTCAGGTCCGGTCTTCGGAAACAATTATTTTAGATTTAATTAATAAAATTAAAAGAATAATAATGAAAAACTGTGGATGGCGAAGGAGCAGCTTTTTCTCGGTTATAAGAAAGTGTCAAGCAAAATCATGCATGATGTCAAATTGCGATAATGCCAAATTGTGCCTAGCAAAATCAGAGTCAGCTCGCTGGTCGACGGCTATTTTGAAAGTGATGACGTCATCATTGAAAATTGCTGACATCGTTAAAATACTGATGTGTATATATCATTAGAAAGCTTTCGTTCAGGCGAGCCCGAATCTAGCATTTATATTAAAGTCAGACGTATACTTAAGAAGTTACAATGATTTTCAGTCTAGGAAACAGAGCTTTTTGACGTCATCGGTAACGTGACTTTGATGAATTTTTGAAAATGTTGTAAGGGCTTAAATTATTCGTTATACCATATTGTTCCATAATCAGCCGAGAAAACAAAGGTTAGGCAATGCGGTCGATGGTTGAGAGGAATGCCCTGCCTAGTATATTTTAACTGATTTCTTGATATTTATTATATTTTCTTAAGATTTGTATAACTGTATGTACAGCAGGTAATGGAAACTTTTCATTTTGAATTCCAGTTAAAAATACAATCACAAATCTCACTATTACAAGGTAATTTGTAACTTACTTACATTTAACTTACTTTCTTTACTTACCTTACACTAAGCCAGTCCTAATATTTTCTTGTTTCAAATGTCTTCTTATTGTCCAAAAAAGCATTGTGCATTTTTATTTAATGAAATTGCCTAGGGCTTTCGAAACTTGTATAATATTAAAAGGGAAGTAGACAGCGAACAGTGAAATGTCTAAGCTAATTTTGTCGAATTTTTCTTCCTGAATGTTCAAAGATAATTATTAGCAAAAGATTTATTCTAAGTAGTAATGTTTAAACAGCTTAATTCTCAACCTAGAATATAAGACATCATTAAAGTTAATATGTCCAGGGACGGATTTACCGGGGGTGGGCTGCAGGGGGTAAGACACCCTCCCAATATATTTGATTCGGTGAAAGCATTTCTGGTGGTCAGTAGTAACAAAATAATGCAAAAATTTACTACTTTATTTTTCTTCCTATCTTCTTAACCTAAGTTAAAAGCTGGATTTTTAAATTTGGCCTTTCCATCATCTACTTGTCAGCTGAAGGGTGTGGCACCAAAATTCAATCTTCATCTAACACCCACCCAACCCTTGCCGCTCCAATCCGTTGCTGCATATTAGTCGGTCGCACAGCGACGCCCAAATGGGAAATACTGTTCACTTTAATTGGAAAATTGCTACTAGATCAAAATTTGATGCTGAAAAACATGGTGGTGACCGATTTTTGAAAAATTGTGCCCAAAATTCCATAATGGCTACCAGAAAATTCAATATGGCTGCCGTACCATTTTGAAAAAAGGTATGCGCTTCTCGAGCTGAGCGTCCCTCCCAAATTAGCTACATCTTGTTTCGGAGATTCTCTACATTTTGGGTTTTTAGCACTGAAATTTTTGACATGGTTTTCATTTGTTAAAAGGGCTAATACACCTCTAAAATGATGGGCCAAAATTTCATGTTTTTTCTATAAATTCATAGATGACATTCAACGTTCAACGAGTGTTGCTTGACTACTACGAAGGCGCATTTCTCGTGGTCTACATGGAGTACCTAATGGTAGTTAGGCAAAAGTGAAAACACAAGTAGCGGGAAACTTGAAGTTGGCAACAAAATTGCAACTACTCTTTGCCATTGTTAATTGATAGGCATCTATCAAAGTAAGTAAAATGCCTTATATGTCAAAAGGACATCTTCTTTTTGAGAAATCTGGCCAAGCTCCAGCTCCTTCAAAGGATTTTCACCAGCTTCTAGTCACAGAAACTGAAGTTCTGTTTCGTTCCTGGAGGATTTCTTTGCGTAAAGATCAGCTGAAAGTTCCTCCTAGTCAAAAGAGAGTTACCCACGAAGATTTCAGATACGATGCAATAATGGAGGCAGACATAACTCGAATTTTTGGTTGCGAAACTTTACACTACATACAAGGCGTCATTTTTGGAGATTGGTTGATAAGAATGCCAGAAAATGTTTTGTTAAAGATAGTCCACGGACTGGAACTGACAGATCTCATCAAGGTTTCCCAGGTTTGCAAGACTTTGAGAAAGGTTTGCTCCAGTGATGAGTTATGGCAGAATCTTTATGAGAAATATTCAGGAAGGGTTACTGACGATATGAAGGCTTTGGCAAGAGATTTTGGGTGGAGAAAACTGTTTTTCACTAACAAATTGCAGCTTCAGAAAGAAGTTTCACGACTTCGTAAAAGTGCAGATTCAAAGAAAAGAGAAAGGCAACAAATAGAAATGGAACCTTAAGTGAAAAAGAACAATTGCATCTTTCATTTGTTAAAAAATAATCAAAATTTAATCAGTTTTCTTAAATCACCTGAGCGCAAGTTAACCCAATCTAAATTAATCTAAAGTTGGTGTTCCCTACATATTGCAGCATTAGAATGGTTTTTTCCTTCAAAATAGCCACTGAAGTGATGCTTTTCAAATTCCCAAGCTGTCTGTACTGCTGTCAGGCAGCCATAACTGAAAACCTTGGAGAGGTGCATGTAGTTAACTTTTTTAGTAGACTTTTATTGATTTTCAGTTGTGCCAAATAACATAATCAAATGCAATGTCACATATGTTGCTAAGCATTTTTCCCAGCCTATCTATGCCTTTCCCCAGAATGAAATGATATTTAAAGTAGGATGCTCCAGTGCTACCAATCACTGTGACCACTTTACTTTTTAGGAAGAAATGTGCATGAAGACCAGTACAAAGAGTTGGTTTTTATGCCACTCTTTATCTTCTTAAGATATTATGGCTGTTAATCCTTTTAAAACCCCAATCTATTCTTACTTGCTTTTTTAAGATTCTTCTACTTTCAAAGTAAGGTTGAGATCAAAGTCCCCTTAGCATTCCAGACTGGAAACTTTGTTTCTTGCCCAGGCAAGTGCACGCCTCTTACTGTGCAACTGTGCGCCTGAAATCACACACTTTTAAGAAAATTATATTGTTATTCATGTGAGATGTATTCAAATAGGGACTTTGCACGGCCAAAATGCAAAAGTGTGCAGATGCAAAATTTGAGTGTGCGGGCAATATGTGGGCACGTGGCAAAGTTTCCAGTCTGGCTAGCATTCTTTCATTGGTGTATCTTCATTATGGCTTTGAGGTCATTTTGACAAGTTTTCTTTCCACCATTGGGCAGATTATCATCTATAGTCTGCAAATATTGCTCAATGAAAGTTTGAATATGTTCACAATTTTGTAAGAAAAATTTGTGATATCGTTAGGCAAGAAAAGGCTTTGAAAATATACAGCTGCAAAACAACACTGTGAGCAATGTTCAAAAAATAATTTTATTGTTAATGCTTGTTATATATGATTTTACTATATCACGTTTCAGTTTTTCGGGTTGTGCCTTTAAATGTTTTCAAGATACAGGCTATTCACTATGCTGTTTGTCATAATGCATATTTTGTTGCAGTAGTTTTGTTCTTGTTAGATTAATATATTAGCAAAGTATATATTTGTTATACATTTACTATAAATCAATATTTTCATTTTTGATCCTATCACAAATGTATACTGGTCAAACTGTTTCTTTAATTATATATTCAAACCTTTTGCTGTGTGTTTATTTTTAACAAATGGGTGAAGCATTGATAAACTACATAGTAACCTTTAATTTTTTCATTTGTTGGCTTTGTATCCTTGGCTTGTTTAAATCCCTTCAAAATTAAATATAAAATTCATAACATTGCTTTGTTGTTAGCAACCTAACATTGCCATTAAATTTTCAAAAGCCATGGATATTATAAATTATCAGATAGTTAAATGTTTTATTGTGGATTAAAAGTACAAATATGGTAAAATTTATGATAAGGGACTTGGCACTGTATCCTTCTACAAGAAGAGGTTTTGACTGAAAGCCATTGTATATGCAAAATTTATAATTGCTTTTCTGCTGATCTAGAATCTTTGCTTAAATCTAGATCAGAAAAGGAAATTCTTATGATTTCTTTCTTATCATGTACAAATGGCTAGTCCCCCATTAACAAATAAAATATTTCAAAGGACTTGACTTTCTCTTGAAATGAGATGAGATGAAATGAGAATTAATATTAAATGAGATGTTTCTCAAGAAACGATAATTGTCATTTTGTGTTCAAGGAAATTTCTTTGGGAAAGTGAAAAGAAATGTTGTCTAATTATGTCCTTACCTTAATCTTGGTTGCTATATCTTTATCATAGAAGACAAAAATAATGTTCAACATGGAAATTTGATTGAAGAAATCGGCCGAAAAATTAAAGACTAGATGACATCACTGTTCAAAATTGCTTAATGTTCAACTTTTAGCTGATAGTTCTACTGATGAGATTTCAACGTTCATGTATTATTGTTAGACCGTCTTTCATTTTATTTTCTTTTTCCATCTTATTTTGGTTCCTTATTCAATGTAAAAAAGTTTGATTACAAGCTTTGATCAAAAATATTATAAAACTCTCCTATTTCATGTCAGCATTAACTTATACAAAACTGAGAAGTATTGATCAAATAAAAGTACCCAAGTTCTTCAAATTCGATAAGTGGTCTCCTTGGGGCATCAGAACTGCTATTCGTTATAATCCTAGCAACACAATATTGAGTTTTACTGTGGATCTCGGTGACTGGTGGAAATCTAGTACGCTACTTACAAGAGTGAATGGTCACTCGAGTTTTACAAATAATTAAGCCTCGTTGGACAACAACGAGTCAAATTCAAAGCATGTTTACTTTTATCATAGCACTCTTTTGAGTTAGGTAGGAGGGTCTATAACAGAGCATGACTTTCATTACCCTGTTTTCCAGACCCATATAGATTCGAGCGCGGAAATAAAAGTTCCTCCTTCTCAGCTAAACGCTCTTTCACTCCGCCGCTTTGCCGCTTGGTTTTCTATTTACGCGCTCGAAATTCGTGGCTCTGGTACCTTATCTCGAATTTGGGGAACTGATGTTTATGTGACATTAAGTATGTTTTTATAGCCAGCTGCACTCAGTTGAGTTAGGTTAAAGGGTAAATTAAAAAGCTTGATATCATTCGCATGCAAAGATACAGCAAAAATTAAGACGGCGCAACAAAGGAGAGAAAAAGGGATAGAAAGGAGACAAGGGTAGAATGGAAGGTGCCCCCCAATCAGCGATCTCCTAGGAAAATTCGGGCTTTTGTCGGATAATTGACAAACGTTTATCGTGTTGAAAGCCCATACTAAACTATTTTAACCGAAAGATAATGACTGCAAGAAATCATTCTGAAATGTACTTTAAGTTAATCTAAAGGTCGTGTTGCCGAATTTTTCTGCTCGCTTCGCTCGCTGGGGTTCCTTTTTTCTCCCTCTACCCTATAACCTCCTTGTACCCTTGAACATACCTGATACAATGTCAGCCAGTACTTAACAATCAGACAAACGGTATATGATGAAAATCAAAACTGCTTGCGAATTGTATCCGTAAAGATTATCCGAACTTTCCATCGGATTCTGCCAAATGAGAATCATTTTTAAACGTATTTCCAAAGAAAAAAAACGAGATAAGATGCAGAAAATGAACTGATGGTCTAGAAAATAAAGGGTAGCAATGAAATAGGAGCTAATTGATGCAAAAATAGAACCTAGGCTTTGAGAAATAGCTAGCTTTTGTTGCCAAAGGGAATGTAAATAAGGAAGGTGAGAAAGGTGCGCGAATAATGACATAGCAAGAACAGAAGCAAGAACAGTATTTCTATAGTAGGTCCAATTATATTTAGCATTCATCCCGTTGTTTTAGCCTTTAGCTGAATTATCATGCATTTTCAAAGGAAAAGGCTCGGAGAATCAAGGTTTTTGCTAGAGGGATTGGCTGCAAAAATTAATTTTCATCACCACAAATATTGCCCCACCTACCTTTTTGCAAAATTTTTTATGAGTCTCTAATTTGTTCTCGGTCTCCTTACATCTTCGAGAATATTTCGGAGTCCCTAATTGTTAGCTTACTTGAGGGGCCAACTTGTTAAAGGAATAGAAACAATGGAAACAAAGCAATATATATTAAAATAACAAAACAATGGTAAAACATAATATATCACGTTAAAAGGTCAAAAAGTAAATATTTAGGAATTTTTTTGGGGACAATATTTAAGAATAAAAATTTAATAACAATAATCAATTGGCGGACAATATTCAAGAATAATGTATGCACTGTAGTCCAGGCTACAAGCATCGCAATCATTATCTTCTTTGTGTTTAGAATATCTGATTGGTCAAAATGATATCCGGTTGTTTGCAAAAAAGGATTGGTTGTTCGCCATTATTTCCGGTGTCTTACAAATAAGGTTAAATTATTCAAATTTATGTATATTTGATATGCAGAGTTGAAGTTGCTCCGCCATTTTGTTATCAGGAAAGCCCGAAGAGGACACCACATGACTAGAAGGGTTTGTCATGTGATTTCTACCGCGTGATATAAACAGAGATACCTCGACAAAACTTGCTCACGTGTGAGAAAATTCAAGGAAATAATTAGAAAAACTGAAAAGAAGATTATTCAGGTTTTTTTGCGAACTTATGACCAGTACAACTTCCTCATTGTCACAATCGAACACGCCATCTTTGCAGATAATACAAGGAGGAGTGACAGTTAAAGGGGAGCGTAGAGCTAACTTGAGTGATCTGAAAGTAGGAACCATAGACGCCAGCACGAATTTCTCCGCGGGTGGAGGTTCCTTTGGGACTCAAGAAGAGAGCACCATAGGTAATGTAGATGGTAATAAAATTCAGCGCCAGGCCACAGTGAGTTTGGGTCCAACAGCAGGAGGGTCGTTTCAGTATAGAGGAAGTTCACAAACAGTCTCTGACAATTCTCAAACAACGTTGAACCTGGCGAATGAGTCGGCAGCTCAACTTAGGGTCATGACTGTGCATTCAGCCGACCCGGGAGGACAAGGAGCTGTATCTGCACTTAACCCTGTCACCCTAGCAATATCGAGTGCCGCCGGAACCCAAGCCAGCCAAGTTCCTCCAGTATCTGAGGTTGTTGATAATAGTGCGGCTGGTGCGGTGGCAGTGACAGTGGACAATGCTGATGGTACAAAATACACTTACTACCCAGCGGTTCAAAACACCGATTCTGCTGCTCCAGGTACGAATAGATATCACAAGCTCAATCAATTTATTTTTAAGGGCTCTTTTAATATTTGTCACTTTTAGGGCCCTGTCGAAATTTCTCATTTTAAGGGCTGTTTTGTTTTTTGAGGTGAGAAACCCAAGATTAATTCATGTCCCAGTTTAGGAAGTGATTGAGAGACCGTTAATGTTATTTATAGTAGTAGTAGATGTATTTTAAATCGATTAATTAAATACACTACTAGCCTTAAAAACAGGGCCTCCAAATACAGGTACTTCGAATAAATGAAACTAAAACTGAAGCCTCCGACGAAGGGAGGCCGGGGGCCATGGCTTTTCCCCCACTTTTTCTCTAAAACAATAGAGATTTTTTCAAAATCTTTTCTTATGAATGTCAAAGTTTCCCAAAAGAACAAAGACTTCCTCTTTGAAACCAATATGAGACCAAAGCCTCTTTAGAACATTTAAAGTTGAATTGCAGCTTTTTCAAAGCTCCATAATTTGTGGATCAACATATAGTGTATTGTCTAGCTAAATTCTGAGAAGCTTGTCGAGGTCTCTGAGTCAATAGTCTTTCCTCAGATGCTTATTTTCTCACCACAGGTATTTGTCCTGTCTTTTTAATGAACATTGCAATCATAAAGTTTTCCTGAAGCAAATCTAGTGCAAACCTGCTTCTACCTCCAGGACAGTTTGGATTTCATGGCAGTTTTTGACGAGATCTTGGGAGTGCACAAGCTATTACCTGGGAGTGCAAAAGTGTATTTGTGATAGTGTGCACATATGAGTGAGCATCACATTTCTCAGTGATTCTTGAGTGTGTGCATATTTTCCCGGCAGTTATCTCATCAGGGAAATTCTTATTCAAATCCCTAAAGGTTCTGCAATTAAAAGAATAATTTTCAAAATGATGTTTAAAAAGGCCAAAGACATGATTATCCAAAGGGATTGTCTCAAACAGGAGCGCCAAGAGGAGGACAGGGCAAATTGTCTAAGGGTCTTGAGGTCTAGGGAGCCTTATAAAGAAATTATATTTTAAGAATAGAATTAATCAAACATAACAGATGTATGCCCAAAGAAAACATTTTATACAAATGCAAGAAAATGGCTAATCTGAAGATCCTGATAAAAAATTTTCTGCTCACTTCGCTTTCATGGGGCCGTAATTTTTATTTTCCCCCAGGGCCACTCAAATAATTTCTCGGCAACCATCTCAAGATCATTTTATTTGGAATGACACACTTTTTCCAAGTTGCAAACAAATTTAGAAAGTCATTTTGTCATATTTGAAAAAGGCTTTTTAATTTGAGCCACACGCAAAACCACACCCATCTTTCGGGTTTGTGAGAGTGCACTCATAATTTAACAAAAATTTATCGGGAGTGCAGCTGCCATGGAATCCATACTAGCCTCCAGGGCTTACAGCAGATCTGGTAGAGTCCTGGAGAAACAAGCAATCATGTTGACATCAGCATAATTTAATGCCTGTTTAGTAAATATATACAGATCATTAATATTTACATTAAATAGAACAGGGCCTAGCACTGAGCACTGTGGGACTCAAGATATGATTGTTTGGAAAAAATAAACAATACATATGATTATATGTATTGTTTATTCTCACAGACAGATCATATCGTTAAAGATGTGAATACATTTTAGTACTAAGGCACTCTCATCCATGCCTATGCATTTAACTTTGCAATTAGTAGATTGGGATACAATCAAATGCTTTTGATAAGTTCGTTAATACTATTCCTTAAATATTATTATTGTCAAGTTTGGTCTTTCAGTCTTCAAGGAATCTTATCATAACATGTTGTGTACTGTACAATTTTCTAGATGCAACTATGAAAATCAAGAGCATAGTTTCAAGATAAAGAACTAATTGCTGTTTCATAATTTTTTCATTTATTTTATATTCACATTCTCTATCACCACTATTGTTACTCCTGCTGCAGAAAGGTGATTTGTAATGACTGAACTGTATGAAAGTTTTTCCATTTAATTTGCTAATTACAACTCTTTTATTCCTGATAAAATCTCTATGCCATTTGCAAACAACCCAATGTCCTGTGGTCTTACAATGTAGTGATGCTTTTAAACTTCTTTCTAGTAATGACTGCAATTACTTTTCAAGGCAGCAGAGCTCTGGAGACAACAAAACCAGACAAACAAATGAATACCTAATTACATGGCTCAAGGAGCTTTTTAGTACCCTCTATTGCTCATCTGGTTTTTTGGGTCAAAAATCTTGTTGTTTTAGAATACAGTCTGAGCTGTAAATAAAACAAGGTTTTGATTTAGCTCCCTGTTGAATAACTGCACTTTTTAGCATAGAGTTGTGAATATCTCCCAGGGGCTTTTGTCAACTTGTTGGTTTTCATATTTTCATTTAAAGCCAATAAATATTTAAATATTTATTTAAAATTATTTAAAATTATTTAAAAGTTAAAAATATTTAAAGCCATTAAATTCAAAAGCCACTAAATTTTTTCATAAATTGTATATATATAGAAGTTTTTGTTAAAATTCTTTTATAAATTGTATAAAATTGTATCTATAAGGGTCCCTACCTAGTGCTTAAAGCACACCTAACACTCCAATAGCCATAGAGAATGAATTAAGGAGTGCCTGAAAACAGAAAATGATATTGCCACAATTCAAAATAATGTTTTAGAATAACATTGATCTTGAAAACTTAAGCTACCTATTTTCTAAAATGGTTGTGATATCTTGATTTATAAGATTTGTACAAGAGTTCATACTCAGTACAAGAGATTAATGACATTTTATACTCAATTATATACCAGGCTCCTTTCAAGGCCATGACTATAAGAATAAATTTTCAAATGAAAACACTATTTTCCATGCATCAAAAATACAAACATTTAAAATCAATTTGAAAAACGCAATGTTGTTTGAAAATTCTTTGTTTACATTAAATATGCTAAGAGGAGTAAACTTCCACTTTTGTCACTGTTTTTTGCAAAATTTTGCTCTTCTCTCAAAGATACTTTCAAGGCAATTCTATTTCAAACTGTAAAATAAAGCACCTCAAGTTTCTTAGGAGCTCATTTTATGAAGCACCTTCATTTTGCTTTGCGCAGAGCCTCTTGCCCTTTTTCAGAATGAAAGATTAATTGGTTGAAAATATTTCAACGCTCTTATTTACAAATGAGTTTTCCTGGTAATTTAATGTTTTTTCCTTAGGGCAATTTTATGTGATGATGTCTCCACAAGACATGATTCCAACAGTTTCTGGCACAAATCAGCAGAGAATTATTGCACCAAGAGGACATCCAATTACAGCGTAATATTTTTTATGCTTTACATCTTGATCTATGCTTTAATCTGAATTGATCTGATTTTCTAATAATTCTTCCCTGTTTTATTAGAAAGGAAATGTTTAGTATTCATATCCTTGTTGTTGGCACAAATCTTTTCAGTTGCTTCATTTGTCTGGTCAGATATTTTAATGTCATTTAATTTTGGTCATTGATTATAAATTTTATGACAATTTCATTTATTTAAATTTATTATAATAGAAACAAAATTCTTATCTCTATGATAATGAAGTACATTTTAAGAGTAAAGTCAGTTATCAAATTGTGTATTGAAATGTCTGCTTGCACGATTTTCTTGCTAACCTCCAGTTTTTGACATTTCATAAAACTTGTCGATTGTGGTTAATCTTTTGTCTTCCTGAGTTTCTCAACTGTTTCCTTGTTATTTTTAAAGGATGGGTGAAAGTGCCACATTTGCGGTGGAAGCTGATAGTATTCCTGTAGAATTCAGGTTGGACTTTTTTATTTTTGTTTTCAGTTTTTGGCTTCCTTATGTTTGTTTCTTTAAAAGTTGTGGTGTCAACCATATTTGATTGGAAGAACATCTGGATGTTGTACTATCCTAATCTTAACAATTAAAAAAGACAAAGCAATAAATTAAGCATTCAAAAGGTAGATATGGATATATTAGAGAAGATTGTAATAGAAGCAAGTATGTTTATAAGAATTAATGAATATCTCACAGGCTTAGCCAAAATCTTGCCCAGTTAGTAAAAACAGATTATGTGGTTTGTTTTCAAATATTAAGTTTTTTAAAAGTAATTTTTTTAAATTTTTGCGTGATTTTATATTTCATTAGAAAGCAGCTAAAAAAGAAAAGTTGTAAAAATTCTGAAAAGCGGCAAGACGAAATAAGATTTGATAGTTATATTGTAATGCTTAATTTTTATTGATAGGGTCATAGTCAAAGAGCCTTAACTTTGCCATTAAACAAGCCATTTTGTTGTTAAAATGAAATATCTAATTTTTAGCCTAAAAGCGTATCCTAATGTTCTTAATAAACATTTTAATTTCCTTCAATAATTTCTTTTTATATCTATTTCCTACTTTTTTCTTACTTTCCTCCCATTCCCCTATTCTGTTTTTTCGGGTGGCGTCGCCCCTCTCATTCTTTTCTTTTTATCAAATCTCACCTTCTCTTTGCTCGGCTCGTTTCTTTTCTAGCCACTTGATGATGAGTACATGCTCGAAACGTTGTGTTTTTAACAATCAAACTATTATACTTTCATTTGCTTACTAAATTATCGTTATTTTGTTGAGGGTTGGTCATTCTGAAGAGCTTTTTGAGTTCTTGAAATAAAGACCATTTTCAAATTTATAAGCAATCTATATAATTCAGTCTCTATTTTCTTGATTCCTTCTTTTGCATTACGCCTACAAGCCCCATTAATGAAACTAGGAATTTTGGTATGGTAGTATGGAAAGTTGCCATGGTGTTTACGTGGGTTGCAAAGTTGTAGTAAACACAATCGGGGTATTGTATTATTTATAAAGTTGTTTGGGAATTGGCCAAGGAACACAAATTATACCTTAGTCATGTAGAAAAGGTGCTCCTTGTGTCGAGCAATCAGAAATGGTGTTGTCATCTTCTCAAAGCAACAGCAAAGCAGTGTACTCTTCGGATTTGTTAGCATTGTTAAGTACTATTATTTAAACTTTAAACTTGATTCTGGGGAATAAATGGTGCTCTTCTTGCAGAAAGCAGGTTAAACAAGGAAAACATTTAGCAACGTCTTGGATCCTGTTGATAGCTTCAAAGCGGATCTTGGAAATGAAATGCCCTAGAAGCATAAAACATTTCGAGTCATCTACAATTTCGTTTTGTTTCTACCTAGCACCCAATGTAGCTTTTAGAACACTGAGAAGTTATGCCAATGGAGCAGTGTCTTGGTCCTTACACTCAATGTGAACACACCTTGTGATTCCTCTGCCTAGCACCAGTACCCTTATGAGGGGGGTAGCAGGGGTAAATTCCCAGGGCCTGGGTCTCTAGAAGGGCACACATAAAGTTTGCCCCTGCAACACTTCTCCTGCACAAGGGCCCGTGTTTTTTGTAGCCCCACGGCCAGAGCTGGCTCTTGACGGGCCTGCTAGTTTTGCAGAGAGCTCTTGACCCCCTTCACTCTAGATTTTGTCATTCATTCTTAGATTCATTCAGGGACTCATATCCTTAGATCTGTAGTCAGCGACTGTAAGCGCTGAGCCCCTCTGGCACTTAGTGGATATCTCTGTGGTCATCATCTCATTATCAGGCATTGGAGAATCTCCCACTCAGCAAAAGAGACTTTCTGGGTCAAAGAGGTACTCACAAGAAGAAAGTGATAAAATTTCAGTTGTTTTTCGAAATGAATTAGAAATAGACGACAAAGTACTTGATGCTCCTAGATGAAATCAATAATTGATTAGTCATTTCAAGGAAAAGTCAGTTAAAAAAGATTTGCCAGTGATGATAACAGATGAGAACAAATGCAAATGTTGACCTTTTGCTGATGATTTGGAGTAGCTGCAAAGTTAAGAATTTAGGCAGTTACTTTGCACGTAAATCGAAACAGCCTATGCAACTTAAAAGGATTCTTTCAACACCAAACCTAATGATTGCAAATGCACTTAGCAAAGCGACAATAAAGCTGTTTGAAGCTTTCTACAATTATGATACAATTTGTGAGCGAATACTATGAAGGAGAGACGTGTCAGAAAAGGCTAATTTTGTTTTAGCTTGAAAAAGGCTATGAAAATCTAAGGAAGAGAATGAAATTAAAAATGATCTACTTCTCGGAAATTGCTGTTTGCCAAGATTAAAGCAGGAAGTAAGCTTTACACGATGATGAATTTGAGATACCTGGCGACTTGCATTTTTCAAAACGGAGCTTGTGATTGTGATGTGGGAACAGCCAAACATCTTGCTGCAAGGGCAAGTCTGCAACACCTATATAATGAGCATATGCAAACACCAATGCATGGCAAATGTAAGCCTAGGGAGTGTAGTTTTTGAATTTTTTCTTGGGAGTAAGTGAGGGCGAAGACAAGTTTTTATCTGCAAGGCTTACCCAATGCAAAATGATACACAAGGTCCTTGCATTCATTCAAGTAAAAGATTCTACATTGGAGCTTATATCTAAAGATTTCTCCTGGGACAAAAATTAAAAAGCAAGTTTCAGTTGTTCGGTATAAGGTTCTATCAAGAGAAAGCTTGAATAGCTTCACAACTTGTTGATAGGAAGGGAACTGATGGCTTTCTTCTGTTCTTCATGAGAAAAGATAAATGGATGAGGAATAAATTGAATTGAGCAATCGACCTCATCATGTAATAGCTTTCAGGTTAACTAAACTAAGTATATTTGTCACTTCATCTTTGGGCTGCTTAGAGGGGTGTCACAAAACCCCATAAAAAGGAGGAAAGGGGGCAATAGCCCTGGAACCCAGTACCACCAACTGGCCTTTAAAGATGTAAAAAGAATAGCCATACGTCAGTTTTCGCTGGTATCAATATTCCCCTGGTGAACAAAGAACAAAAATGCATTATTATTGGTTTTATCTGGTTTCAAACCCACACAGTACACTCTTTGTCCTGTTTGCAAGCTCGATTTTGGTACTCTAAATAACTTTGCAGCATCAAATAACGGAAAGTCTGTAATGCCTGGGTTGCGATACGGCTCTTCGTTTGGTCTAAGCAGGTTGTTACGACGCCCCACATGTCTTTGTTTTGAAATGCAAAATTAAGAGTGAAAGACGGAGTTAAAAAAGATGAAAAGGAGAGAAATAGTCCTCTCGAATATGATAGAAAAATGGCGTGAAAATATCCAATAGAATGAAAATAAGGGTCAAGGAAAAACTTTTGTGGGTGGGCCATAATTTTTTTTTTCTTTTAGTGAAATGTCGTCGTAATTTTGCCTTTGCATTTTTTAACAGAAAAGTTGAAACCACTACAAGGTCTGCAAGAGATGAAAGAAGACGCGCTACACATAATGAGGGTACATGGTTTTCATTTATGTGGTATTTCTATAACTAAAAAGTTTAACTTATGCTGACATCATTTCTCGGCCATGTTGGTCTAGATTCGAGTATTCTTAAACTGCATTAGTACGACTCCATTATCAGTTGGCGACTCTTTTGTTTTACGTTTATGTCTTTAAATCTTTAAAAGCAATTTTATTGTAAGAATTCCTCTACTCTCAAAACAGTTTTTAGGAAAGTTCTAATTTTTTTAACAGAGTCCATAAAAGGACAAGGGGTTTTGCCAATTGACAATTGCCTATTTCACCCTATTAATTTGTTTAATTTCTCCAAGTTTTGTATTTTTCACTCATCTATAGCCAAGTATAGCTCATTTCAAACGCGTAGAACAGATTACCTCAGTTTGAAAATAGTTTTAACGAACTCTCACGCTTTCGTCCGATTGTGCATCGTTTTATGGTAGCAGCTCATGTTGATAAGTAGTGAAGGGTGATCAAGAACCTACAGTGTGCTGTGTGTGGAATTTTCTTAAAAGGTTTCTTTTTTGAGATTGCTGAATAGATTTTTTTCAAATTCATACAATTTCTAATGATATTGTGATATAACAGGCCTATTTTATAGTTTCTTTTCTTCAGATGATTTATTGACTTTTCTTTCATCTTTAGTTGAGAGGAAGAGAAGGACAAAAATAAACGCTTGGATTGAGAAATTGGCTTGCTTAGTTCCAGAATGCAAACAAGACCAAACAAAGGCTGGCCAGGTTAGGGAATATTTCCTTAAAGTTTTCGCAGGATTAGTTTTTGCATGATTTGTATATCTCACGCATTTCTGGCTATTTTTACTCCAGTCTAACAAACTTGTTTATAGGTTTTAATTTGTTTTACCTGCAATTAGCTTGTGTGAAGTTTTGATGGTTAAGCCTCAAAAGTTTTCATATTAAAGCAATGGTGTTGATTTGTTTATCTAGCTTTTATACCATGCTGCTTCATTGTTTTTAAGATATTTACATTGATTTTCGATGCAGAGCAAAGGCACAACATTATCGAAAGCCATTGACTATATCGAAAAATTACGGTCTCAGAATGACAGGCTAGCTGACACACTGAAAGACCACGAGCGACTCCTTGTGGAGAACCAAGTTTTAAGACAGCAGATGGATGAACTGCGACGCGATAATGCACTATTAAGAGCAAATTTGCATATGCACCAAGAGCATCAGGACATGCAGAGCGACGCACAGCAGATTGATGCAGGACAATGAGAGCAGTCTACTTTGACTTCGAAAAAAAGTTGATTTCGACTCAGCATTTGGTCTAATTTTGCTTCTAATCTCACTGTTTCTGATCCCTCCTGTTAGTTTTCACATACTTTTTTATGAATAATATAGCATGAGCAAGTATTCACACAGTACAATGGGCTACTTCTATAGCAAAGCAGATGAATACAATTACAATTTTCATCTGTTACATCGTTGTCTTTTGCATTCCCAGCCACTGTTCTCTACCATAGTTTTCGTCATTTTGAAAACATTTTCTAAATTTAATCTGCTTAGACTGACGGTTTATTTCTGTACTGAAGAAATACGAGCACATTCTGGACTAAAAATGTGTTTTTTTATCATTTTCAAGTTAGCTGGTGATTTTATTTTACCTTTTAATGGGTCTTTTCTTTTACAGTATGATGTTCCTTATTCGTAACCTCTCTCAAACTTTAAAGCTAGATTTTTACCGAAATCTAAGTTGAAATCATTTTAAGGGGTCGTTTTATCTATGTCTGGTGGGTATAGATTAGGTAAACTGTTGTTTTTAAGCGTAGTTTCGACGATCTTTAACTGTAGTATGAGGACAAGCTATATTTATTTTGTTTCCTTCACTATTGCAATGATTAAAATGAATGTTCTATTCCTGTGGTATCTTATCCAATAAACGTTTGTCATATTTCACTAAATTGTATAATTTTTGTAAATGACCATGTCTCTCTTTGGGTTTTCTCTTTAACTGTTAGGAAACGCTAAGTTATGCCTTTTAACTTATGAAGTGACCCTGCTTTAAGAAAACTTTGCTCCTGTTCACAAGATGTTGAATCAAATCGCGCCAATACTGCGACGAGGGTGTGAGCAATGGTGAAAGTGAGAGCGAGTTCAACTAGAAACCAGTCTACTGAACAAGTCAGTTATTAAACCTCACTGCATGTTCAAATCGTGACTTTGAGCCTGATTTTAGACTTTTCCCTTGTACTGTTGGTATATCCATTATCGCATGATTTTCAAACCGAAGACCTTCCACTGCTTTCGATCGCTGAGGCTCTAGGGCCATAGCATTTTTAACAATAGGCAATACGTGCAAGCTTTAACAAGTGATGTCTGCAAAACTCGATAATGTTCAGTAAATTCTTATTTTCTAATATGCAACGTATGTCCTTTCTCTCTTTACTTTTTAAAGGACACAAGCAAAATTAAGTATCAACTAAATCTACCTAAGATGCTAAGCTGCTGATAATTTTAAGTTCTGAAGTTTGACTCTTCAGTTTTCACCGTCAACAGGACTGCTGGCATATTTGGGGAAGGGGGGTTTGGGTGAAGTCGGGGCAAGTGGCCCGTAAGGGTCTCATAAAAGCACATTTTCAAACCGTGTAATTTTTTTAGTACACTCTAAAATTAGAACAAATTTTTTATAAGGAGTTTTGGAATCTCTCTTAACGTATTACAACTTTTAGGTCATTAAAGATGTAGGGAATTTACCAGAACTGACTACAAACATCAGCCCAAAAATTTTCTATAAAGAATAATATCTGATCTTAGCAAGCAAAGAATAGGCCCACTATCTTTAATCATAAAGCTCAAACACAGTTTCTCAGGTTTTGTTAGAAAATGAGAAGTAATTTCCAAGGTTTGAAAACAAAACCAAACAATTCACATTGCTATTTTGCATTTCTTAAAAAGTATCAATTTCTTCTCTTATGCGTCTCGATGTGTAACTCGTCCATTTTCTTCTTTTTCTAATTATTCTACTCCTTATTGTACTTTGTCTTTTTGTTCTTCTTTTCTTTTATTTCATCTTCTACTTAATCTTTTTCATCGTTTGCTTCTTATTTTATTTTGCTTCTTTTTTTCTTTCATTCTTACTCTTCTTTTAAACCTATTCCTTCCTATTCTTCTTCCTATTCTTCTACTTATTCTTTTTTCTCCTTTTCCAATTCTTCTACTTATTCTTCCTCTCCCCTTTCCCTTTATTCTTCTTATTTTTCTTTCATTCTTAATCTTCTTCTTAATCCTCTTCCTTCCTATTCTTCTATTTATTATTCTTCTTCCTCTTCTTTGATTTCTTAATCTTTTTCTTCTTCTAATCCCCTTCCTTCCTATTTTTCTATTTATCCTTCTTCTTCCTTTTCTTTTCATTCTTATTATTTTTCTTTTATTTTAACCTTCTTCCTCTTTTAATCCCCTTTCTTCCTTTTATTCTACCTACTCTTCTTCTTTCTTTTCCTCGTCTTCTTATTCCTTTTAGTCCAATTCTTCTACTTCTTTTTTTGCTTTTTTTATTTTGCTTCTATCTTTAATTCTCTTTATACTAAAGGATGATTTTGATCCTCTTTAGCCTCTTCCTTCCTATTCTTCTACGTATTCTTCTTCTTCGTTTTTCTTTCTTCTTCTTATTTTTCTATTATTGTTGATCTTTTTTTCAATCCTCTTTCCTCCTGTTCTCGTGCTTTTTCTTCTCTGTCTTTTCAAATTCTTCTTCTTATCCTTCTTCTTCCTCTTCCTTTTTTATTTAGCTTTATGATCGCAAAAAGATACAATTGATAAGGTAAAGGAAATATTCTTAATACATTGAAGGGAAAACAAAATCCCCAGGAAGATAGGCTGGCACATTCAAGAAAATCTCACAACTTATTAGTTCTTTGACAACCTTTAAGCTTCATTTGAAAACCATTATCACTTTTTGGTCTTTGGAATATACGCTTTTCTCTTCTTGGAAAACCTCAGCCCTCTTTCCAAGCTTTTTAAAACAGCTCAACACAAGAATTAACGCTCATCTTAAGGAGGCCGAAGATAGTTATGATTAAGGCTTTTCAAGATATCTTGTGTTACCTAACGCTATGAAATAAGTATTGTAACAAATTATAACTATAGTTTAGATTACAGCTAACAGTAGCTTATCCATCCTTGCGTTGCTTCTAGTCAAACTGTTGTATCGATGGTATTTGTATGCTTCGAAGGTATTAGTATGCTTCGAAGGTCATAGAACTCAGTGTTGCTACCGGCCACTTCTCTAGCAGAATCTTTGGAGCTCTTCTATTAATTTTCAGCAAAAGTCATCTCATAGAAATGGGCGGGTTTTCCCAGAGGTTTTTCCGGTGTTTTTTATTCAATCTGGGAAAATCAGTCGAGGCTGCGTGCAGGCTAGAAGTTTTACGATGAATGATTGTAATGTACAAGACCGTCCATATGGCTTGATGCCATTAATAGAATACAGATATTTTGTAAAATCTACCTCAAATATTTTTGAGGATGATGTAAAAACGTATGAAGATCAGTGAAAAGGGGGAAACCACATCTGACAGATTTAAAACAACTTTTCGGTATATATCTGGCTTCTAAGATGAGATCGCTTTTCAATGAACACAACAGCGGTGAAAATTCTATAAGAGACGCGGTACCAATGTAGTTCGGTTGCTTAATGCTGCTGGATAACTCTCAGAGTTGCAGAACTTCAAAGTTGCATAGGCTTTCGTTTGGTACAATCTGTAAAACAAGCCAATGACAAGAATGACTCGATAGATGCGCCACTGAGACTGCTGAATCTAAAAATATGGACAGAAAAAACTAATTCGAAACTTTCCTTTGTTGACGCACACGAACAGAACAAAATCTGCATTTGAATTCAGACTAGAACATTGACTTTGAAATTCTTTCTGCATTGATTATGTAATCTTTATCAAGTCCATGGCTGGTAAGAAGGTCCTTGCCTTTTTTAGTCATTTTGCTATCAAATTGTTTTATCTGATTTTCCAGTCTTTCAGATAAATTTTATTTAAGAACTACAAATGGGAGTAGTTAGATTTTGAAAAAAGCAATAACAGAAGTCACATTCAGTAATATTAAGATGGCTTTTCGAAAGGTTGAAAACGTCTACAGTACAGTATTAGAAAGAAACATTAAGTGCGTGGCGTCAGCTCTCTTGGGTGATTTTGTCGAGTCCAGTTCTGTGCATTTCCAAAAGTGTCTCCAAAGTTTGGTTGCCTGATTGTGCTTTGCCTGATGACCAAGTTCCAAAGAACTCTATCTTGAGCTTGGCGTATGCAGTCTACCAAGGGAGCACCCGTCAACTGTTAGATGTTATCTGTACTTTGGTCTTCCTCTGCTGCGCTTGCTATCCACGTATCCGAGCATTGCTGTTTTCCGAGTGATGTTGAGTATCGACGCACTATATGGCCAAAATATCTCATTTGAGCTTTCTGTGTTTGTCCTAGCAGTCTATGTGGATGTTGCAACTCTGCACGTATGCTGAAATTGCTTCTTTCTTCCCAAGATACACCTAGCATACCGCGCCATACCCACGTCTCAAAAGAGGCTATTCTATTTTTATCACACTTCCAAAGTGTCCAAGACTCGCAGCCGTATGTGACGATTGAGAAAACAAGTGCCTTCATCAGTTCGATCTTTGTGTCCCGCAAGATGCCCTGGTCGCGCCATATTGTATGCAGGGTACCCATTGCTGATCGACCAATGCCCAGACGATGTCCAGACGAAAATTGATTGTGTTGCAACACAGCCATTGAAATGAAACTTTCAAAATCTTGGGACTTAGAATGAGTTCATAGTCGCTATGAAGTAAAGCTTCACAGCATGCCGGACCATCCTAGGTTACCTGAAAACTATCAGCTCACCAAGAGGCATGCTTGAAGGCATATTTCTAAGCTGCACAAAGGGTCAGAACTGCTGCAGAAAAACGATTCCATCATCAAAGGCCATGATGCACGTGGTATAATAAAGATAAAAGAGTTCTGATTAAGAAAGTAGGGTAGGAAAAGTTTTCTGGCCTAGCATCCTGTAATCAGAAAAACCAAAGATACAACGAAAGTGTACATTGCTTACGATGCTTCTACCGAAATCAGTTTTGGAAACTTCTTTAACAACTACTTGTTCACGGTCCTGGCCGTTGAAAACTATTGCAGATGTTTTTGATAGAATTCTCCTTTACTTTTCTGCCATCAAAAAGGAATTCCTAATTTTTCCGATAATAAAGTTAGATGCATTTCGTTTTATCTGGTATGCTGAAAAAAATGCAAATGAAATGGCATTGGGGATTTACCATTTTTGCATAAAGATATAATTTATGAAGAAAATTGCAAGTATCCATAACCAAATTAGGCCCTTGAAGATTCGGATTTTAGCTGACGAAATCCGAGCAGCAAATCACTTAATGTCAGAAATCGGTAAATCCTGAGAAATTGTAAGATGCTAGTTTAGATTCCATTTATTTTGTTATTTGTAACCATAGTAATTTATCACCTTTCGCACATTCAATTGTTTAGGATTCCTTTTGTTATCTAATTGCACCTGTCGATTCATTAGTTATTTCTTTAGGGATATTTGGTAAAATTATTCAGTTTATGTAATTATTTTTTGGAGTAGAATCTTCTGTATTCATTATTATTTTGTAAACATGTAGCTATGTAATAATGATGTAATATGTAATATGTAATATTTTACCGAGTTAGTTGGAGTTGGAGTTATAGTTAAGAGCAAAAAGGTTAATATTTGATTATATGCATTTCTAGGTTCTCGACAATTTACTTATATTTTGAGGCAAGATGCTTGTAAAAGATCTTGTTAACATAAAGTATGGAGGTATATAATACGTATTTGGATATATGGAATCTGTATGATTTAGACTATTACCGTAAATCCTCGAAATGGCCCCCCCTCTCGAAAAAGCCCTCCCCTCGAATAAGCCCCCACT